AAATCAAATCCCATACCTCTTAAAAAATCACCCGTTATATCATATTATTCTGGACATAATTTGGATTGTCTATGAATTGTTGCCTGCAAAATAGATGACTACATTTCGAGGTATCATCAACGACTGACTTCGGGATATAATCTACGTCCTCGCGGTCAACTCACATTCCACTGATGATGTATGCCGCGATTGTGGACGAAACGTTTGGAACTTCAGGTTCCGATCGACCACGGCCTACCACTCCGATTTTGTCATCTTTAATCATGACTCCGGCCGTGACTATATAAATAGAAAAAAATTCTGACCCCGCTTAAAAAAGGTGCTGGTTTCAAACTGGATTCAAAAAAACAAATCTTATAAAAAAGCCTCATCAAAATCGCAGCTGGGGACTTCCACAAAAAACTGCATTTCGTATTTGAGTATCATCCATAGTCTTTAACTAATTTGAATAATTATGCCACCGCGCCTCAAAAAATTTCTGATTTCACCAACAGATTAAACGTTCATTATTAATGATTTCACTTCTAATTTTTGTGTACTGAAAATGTGCTCCACGCCATGAATCAACCTCCCTTTTAAGGGCCGCCTAATCTTAAATTATCTTATACTGTACCAGCTATAAATAAAAAAGATTTGTTTATCGCGTCATCTGGTTGATGAGTACTCAGTTCAACTGAAAAGTGCTTAAAACAATTACGAAATTAGTACAATAATAGAGGTAAAGATAACTTACAAACATGAGAAGCACTACGATAGAATCGATAAAATAGGACCGCGTGTCTAAAATTTGCACATTACATAATTATGTTTTGGAACAAAATTATAAATAGATCCAACTGAACATTGGCGTAGTTAAAAATTGTGTGTTTTTTTACAAAATGTGTTTACAGACAAAGGACAACGTCGCGTGTAAAGATAACGTATATTTCATATGCTGGGTTAAATTAAGTCCCAAAATATGACACACAAATGCAAATAATCCCCTAGAACTTCAATCAATGAAAGAAAAATCACTAGAATAAATGAGTAGTAATTTATAATACAAATCATGAAATTATAAAATGACAACAAAAATTAATTGGCGCTCCGGGGCGACTTCATTGAGTCCAGTGGCGCATTTGCTTTTTCAGCTGCAGGAAAACCCGGGAAAAACCTGCAGCACCACATCATCTGAAGATTTCGATCTGCCAATATCCTCTCTATAATGAAACAAAATGTAGGGTGTCTCCAGAGGCTTCAATAAATTTAATATATCGCCAGAACACTTCGTGACAGGACTAACGTCAAACTTAAACCAGTCCGTTTCTTTTTCGTCCAAGGCGTAACAATGACCAGATCAACAACAGAACGACAGTGAACAATGACTGCATGGAGATTATAATAGTGGTCTTGTAGATTGAAGTGTTCATCTATTTCGAACCTTCGAGAGAGTTTGGTGCTTCCGTCAGAGGTTGAGTCATGTTTGACCATCAGTGTTTTTATTAGATTGACTGGTGCTTCAGCTATACTTGTTTTCTTATCAGTCAGTTAATTTGGCACATGTTTGGCAATACAGTCGATCATCATCTGTTAAAAGTTTCATTTTCAGATGATTTAACAATAAGCTTTGCACGGACTGGTTATCTATCAGTCATATTAGGAAACGCTAAGTTCCAGAAATTCACATACATTTTTGCTACCTCTTGAACATTCACTACAAAGTAAACAAGTGAGGATTTTTCTAGCAAAGGATTTACAAATACAAGACGAGATAGACTCCAGAGCGGTAAGGAGTATTGATTCTGCTATTGTTTTGCTCACGAAGAGTATTCAACAAGAACCCCAAGAATTCGGAACAATCCTTTTGTTGTCCTAACTTGTCTAGTAGACTTCAAAGACTCCAGGAAATCGGTTGGAGGGAAAGATGATACATTCTTACGAAACTGCAGCTGCATGAACAAGTGTTTGAGTTTGGTGAATAAATAGGAAACATTCTCGTTCTCGTTCATTATTAAATCCCCGTTCTTGAAATTCTTCGTCATGAACAACACTTGTAAAATGCTCTTCAGGTAGCAAGTGTTTCCTAAATTATGTAATACAATTTTCTTCTCATGATTTTCAGGACAACTCCCTACTGATTCGTAAGGAATAAATATATCAATTAATTTAAAAAATGGTTTTTTATTTGAAACTAGCAATGCCCCGGCTCCACACGGGTGCAATGCTGATACTAAATATAGATATAAACGCGTGCGATCGATGCTAATCATAAAGTGCTATAGGGCGAAGCGCAGTCTTCGAATAGCTAACATAGGCACGCGCCGCCGACTCCCTGGCTGGTACCGCCGCAACCGCTGTCCCTTCATTTCAAATCTGTAATATCTTCGGAAATATTCATTTGAGTTACATGCTGTAAAGGGCCATATTGATCTATATTGAATGCACAATGCATTTAAGGTACTCAATTAGATAAGGATGAATGCTGTATTGCCTTAAATCGCTTCGTAAATAAGCCATTATTTCTCGATGTTATCATCCCTAAGAGACATATACGATCTCAGTAGGGATTTCGATTGTGTCAATCATGACAAATGATTACTGAACTCAGAGAAATATGAAGTCAGGAGTGTTGCACTTCAATGGATTTCAGCTTTTTTACATAATAGAACTCAGTAGGACGGTAGTCTGGTGTGTCGACGTGTGTGGTTTGCTCGGCACACACACAATCGACCGTTGTGTCAACCGGGGGTTCGAACCGCAAGGCCGGACGATCGATTTTCACTTCCTTTCGTCCAACCCGTGTTATGAATCACACGTTAAAAGATGAGACCTCGTTAGTCCTTAGCTCGCACAAGTTTCGACTTTTAAGAGTTGTCGTTCGTAAGGGGGCACAGTTGGTTAACGGAAAAACAGATTTCAACAGACAGAGTATGTGATCATACATACAAAATTACATACTCAATTTTAGGTATTATCCGCTTTATACTCTAGGTTAATGATATAGAGAATATCTTAGGAACGTTCAACATATGCTGACGATGTTACGTTAATTATATCAGATTCAGATAATAACCGTCAAGAAGAAAAATAAAAAGTATATATGAACAAATTAATTGTCTGCTATATAGTGGTAATGACTTACATTTCAACCAGCTTGAAACACAAATCAAAATATATTGTGTAGAAATCCAATGAATGATATCTGATTCGATTCCATTATGTATGTTTGGAATACAAACGGAATAGAGAAATTAATATGAAAATGGCTGTTTCGAAATGGCTTTTTCTTTCAGTTTGTGTCTGAAAGTTTCTTCTCTCCATGATCTAAACATCTTTATATAGAGTTAATTTTCGAAATTGATTGCTTCCTTCTTTTCTTTGGAAGATTTCCACATTTTTCTGTATCAAGATGGAGAAGTAGAAAGCCAAAACCTACCCACAATTAATGAGGTTTCATACAAGACAGAAAACGTTTCAGCAAAACTTCACTTTCACATTCGATAATGAACTGAAAGGCAGTACTACAGAAACTATAAAATATCTAGGTGTTAATGTTGATGAATTTTTTTAATTTAACTCAACTATCAATGAAATCAGTTGATAAATTTCAATAATTCTCCAAGTAAATTTGCAACTGAGGTTTAGGTTGTGTTTGTGGAGTAATACTATCAGCCAACAGAAAATTTTGAGACTGATGGCAGAAGTTTGTTACGATCATTCTTGTAGACATATTTTTCCTTCTTACAAAATTTTACCTCTTGCAAGTTTATGTAATTTTGAAGTATGCGTCTATATATTTAAAAATATTTACAAATCTACATAAAATTCTCCTAGTTGTATTGGATACTAAGATAAACAGTACATTTCTTCAATGAATTTCATTAGTTCGGATATTATATTTGTCTGATATTATATAAAATGATTTGAAATCCCTGAAAGAACTAAAAAAGGAGAATTAAAAATT